GAAGAGAGAAGGGGGGGGGGGTAATAGATGGAAAAACTAACCCGGCAATGATTGTCGAAGATAAGATATTAGTCGAATAAAAACTGAAAAAAAAAACAATAACGATACGAATATGTATATTTGCAATATTTTAATCTCAATTGATATAAAAAAAAAGGATTTTCATATAAGACCAATGTAAAAACCCAAGTGTAATATTAATGTTTCGAAGACATTTTTATTTAAACGAATTCAAACTAGAAAAACAACAAATTATTTAAATACTTTTTCTATTTAAACTATAAATAATAGTTTTTTATTTAAATAAAAATTCTAGTTAAAAAATGTTAATTATAATTTTTTTTATAAAATATAAAAAATTTGTATTTATTATTTTTTTTTTTTATAGCCTTTATTAATAATACATATTTGGCTCAACAATTAAACAGTAACAATGTAAGGTTACATAAATATGTATTTATTAATACCATAATATATTTACATTAATATGATTTCTAAATAAATATCTATTTCTTTAAGTTGAATTACAAGTACACATTGATAGTGTACGAAACTGGATATTTTGTATAATGATATTATTAAAAAAAAAAAAATAGTAATAAAACTGTAAAATAAAAATATAGTATTAAAAAATACTACCAAAAGAAAATAATTGTATAAGTGTTGATAATGTCAGGAATAAAATCTGATAATTTGCAGAATTGACTCTATTTTGAACCGTCAACAAAAAAAAATTTGTTGTGTTTTATCATAATTTATCTGAATAGATAAAAACTTTTAGAATATATTATTGGAAATTATAAATAAATAGTTATTTCGAACAATATTTATTATTTTAAGCAGTACAATACCAAGACGTGATATTAAAATAATGCTTTATTTGTAAATTGTTATATTTTGTATTTTATTAATTGATATTAAAATTCGTCCTGATTTACTTAATTGTGATATAGTTCAAAATTCTAAAATTAAAAAATAGTCTCAGGATAGGTCTAAAAATACAAACCTAAATATTGACCTTTATAAGAGACCTGTGAGCAGTTAATGTAAATTCTGTAGAGACTTGTGATGGATTTTATTGTGATGAAATCACATTGAGATTTAAAAATTGATTTCATCCAACTTTGTTAACTTCTTCTGTAGGTACTGATCAATACTGGTTTGGACTAGGCTGTGGGCAACTGAGAAGGTATTCGTTTTACAATGTCGTTTTCTTTTCGTCTTCACCTCTCTAAATTTCTTTCAAAATACTGAAAGAAAATTTAACGTTCATTCGATTGAACGTTATCATGAAGTTATTATTATGCAATGAAAATAAATTTTTGATTGTAAGACCCGCAGCCTTTCAAATAATACTTAATTAATTGGAGAAAGAACTCTAGCCGAGTGGGATCGGTATGTAGACATTATTGATTTTTAATTTACAGGTATTTATGTTCAAAATTCGAAGGTCGGTGATGTTAAAATATTTTTTTTTTAATTAGATACGGATTCTTGTTTTCCAATAACGTTTCTCAAAAAAAAAAAAAATCGGTTTGACACATTAATTATAAGTGTCGATTTTAAACATAAGATCATGACAGAAATCAAATCTGATAACTTGCAGAATTAACTATATTTTGAATCGTTGACAAAAAAAAATAAAAATTAGCGCCTTATTGTAATTGAAAAAAAAAAATATATATATATATATCTTGCTGACTGAAAATCAATCTTCAAAGCTACCATTTTCCAATTTTCTACATTGCACTCTTGGCTAAGGAGAACAGTAGTCTTGCAGCTAAATTAAATGTTACTTGACATATTTGACAGTTGCTTATGAATTATCTTCGTTTTAGAAGGTCTCTTCGGCGAGGAAGAAGTCTTGAGTATTTTTTTTTTTTTTGCGTTTAACATTCCTTCTGTCTACAGAAGCATCCGGAAGTTATTTTTTCACTATGAGTTGTAATATTTTTTTTACAAGATTCATAGGCTATATTGTTTTTATGTGGTCGGACCACTGTGCGATGGCCGGCTGTGGGAAATAATAGACTTGTACTACAAAAATAAAATGAAAAATCATATCAACATAATATTAATAGTTGGTTACCCGTTTAATACTTTATTATTAGTTGTACATCACGAACTAAGTGTATGTCTTATGTATGTACTAGTTATATAATGGTACGGATAAAGAGAACACTTTTCTATGTCAGTATGGTCAATAATAATTGAATGGATTAATGCTAAAAGTGTTTGTCCACGCTAACTTGTGTGGTAACTAATTTTAGTTTGCAGTTCACTGTTAATCAAAATGGCTCTATAGTAGTTTAATAAGAAAGTTAGAACAAACAATAGCGGAAAGTGGTACAAATTTCCACAAGCTACTCCACGCACATAACCCTTTTACCCTAGAAGAACCTAACCAGACATTTCTGAGGTTATGACCTGAGACAAGATAGATAAACTGAATTATTTTTGCAGAATTCAATATTCTGATAATTTTGCCAGGCTTCTTTTAGGTCTAAATGTGTGTTTCTTGTACCACCGAAATGGCTTTTGTTTGCTGTAAAAATTTGTGTATAAGTGAAAAATTAACCTGAACATAAATTGACACTTTTTCTGTAAATATTGCCCACATTAAACCCATTAAGTATGTTATTGGTGTTGTGATTGCTGTTGTATTGTTAATATTATTATTATTATGGTTGTAACTGGAAGATAGGAGAGATAGTTAATGGTTATTACTAGGTATCTGTAAGCCGCTCCCTGTAACATTGCGGTTCGAAGCCACGTTTTAATTATTAGACTGCATTGCCGAAAAACTCGTTTCACGAGTGGAGGAACTGATTTATTGGAATAGTTAAAGCAACATACTTTTACCGTCAGGGGTCTTCAAACCTTACACGTTAAGTATTTTTATTCCTACGATAAATCAACTCACATACAACATCCCATGTGACAGTCGACCTGTCTTAAGGTATATAGACTGCGGCCAGAGTTGGAAATTATTTAAGTCATCTTTTGAATAAAAGTTGGTTATTCACACAACCCTGAAAAAAACCACACGCGAGTATACTGATTAAATCAACCCTTAAATGGTCACTGTGTGAAATACTTGTGTATTTTCATTTAGGTGACACCTAGAATCCAAAAAAGTGATAAAAATGTATCATCATATCATTGTATAATATTTTATGGTTAGTTGTTATCGAAACAAGCGAGACCAAAAGCCAGATACTAGAAAATCACAATTAATAGTACTGAAATAGCTATTTTATTTTGTGCATCAGACAAGCCACAAAATCCAGTTACTAATCAAGTAGTTTTTAGGTGAAACAAAAAAACAATACTCGAGATAAAAATGTCTTATTTATATTTAAAAGTAAGAGAGAGATAACAGATTTCTGTTATCTTATACATGTTTTTTACATACTACTCAAGTTTTTAAACAGTACAGTACAGTAAACTATAATAAGTGTACAATTAAACAAATGAAAATCCTAATATTCTTAAAACAATAATTTTAACAAAGACAACGGTCACTCTCATATTGTGATATGTAATATGATAAGAAAAGATTAAATTATGCTATTGTTCATTGAAAAATTAGGCAAACATAATGGATATTAGACTTTGGTCGTATTTAAGTTTTTTTGGTTAAACGAAATCATACATAACATTATTGTTACATTGTAAAAAAAAAAATAACTTCTTAAATCACTAATTATTTCAGACGCGTATACTTACAAAAAGAGTTTATTTTTTAATCATGACTATTGGTCATGATTAGTTCTATAATTATGATATTATTGTATAATTTATTCGTTCTTAATGTTAACATTTTTATTCATAATTAATTACATATTTTGTAATTATTGTACGATTAAATAAATCATGTTTGAGGGGATTGCATGCGGTGTGTTTTTAAGTAGTTTTTTTATAGGCAAGAAATGCAATATTAATAAAAATAAAAAATGCCATGCAGCAAAGAAGGGTTAAGTAGTCGAAATTTTGTCCGGCTTTTCGGTCTAAAACTTAAAAACCACTGACCCCGTGCAATGTCCAAAGATAACTCATCTTGCCCGGTTGCACACCAAATTATTTACCACCGTGTAATAAACTAACTTAACTTTATCTTTTGTTAAATCAACATATCGTGTTGAATCGAATAAATGGTATCAGCAGTAGAGGAGTTAATATTATTATTGTCGTTATTATCATACAGGGTCTAATCAATGATAAATTTTGTCATTGATAAATGATAATGTACATTGATAACAAATTTGACTATACATACATTTTTACTCAGCGATAATTAACGACCCTGTTTAACTTATTGACGATTTAAAACATGCGACAGAATTAATTTTGACTCTAGTTGAAATGTTTTTATTCGTCGAGTGAACTTTTGAACTTTTGAACAACATAAAAAAAAGCCCATCTCTGTTACCGCGGTACCGGTAGCCGCTCTGTTACCGCAATCACCCTGTATTATTCGCCTGCTCCCACCGCGAGCGCGGCGTAGGGCGAAGAGGCGGTGGCGGCGGACAAGCGAACCGGTGCGGCGGCGGCGACAGACCACAGACAACTTTCGGGGCCGGTTCGGACTTCAGTTGCGACTTGCCTATGCCCGTGTGTGTGTGTGTATGTGATTGTGTCATCGTTTGTCCGATAACAGCTGTCGCCGCCGCCGCCGTCCATTTTTGACTTCCACAATAATATTAAAGTACCTAAATAATATTACTATAATATTATCTATTGATTATTCGAATTTAATTTTTAATCGTTCGCGTACTCATACTAATTGTCGTATATAATATAAGCTTAAAAAAAAAAAAAGTGATAATCATTTTTAACGATTTATTGCTCTATTAATAATAACGTTCCAATAACAATACAATCCAAACCATATACGGTCCGAATTTCCACGTTTTAATCGATATTATCATATTATATTTGAAACGTACTTAACTTTTTTTTTACAATTTTGTTTTTACAACTTTTCTGTTTTTCCGCAGGTCAACTATCACGAATACGGCGCTACTTTTTCCAAGGTAAGAACCACTTGCACACACTATTTTTTAGCTGATAATATTACCTATTATTATTATTCGCATTATTGTATAGATATTAGATTATTGTTATTAAATTTTGTATCCTTATACGGATAGGTTTGCGCCGTGTCGTCCGTTTGGCGCATTCGGTTTTCCCCTCCACCGTTACTTACTTTTTTTTTTTTTTGACGATTGTTCCCAAACCGTTGGTGTTATCATTCGTCGTCACCAAGTATTAGCATTACCGTTTACCACCACCGCGCATATTATTATACACACCAACAATACACATTAATAATAATTGTAATACCTATATTTATATATTTTTATTTTATATATTCGCCATTATCGTCGTCTCGGCCGTCGTCGACCGACGCCGACCTCTTGTGTTATTATCATTATCGTCATCATCATCAATTGTAATAGTATAGTACTCGATAATTATTGCTGTTGACGACGATTACCACCGTCGCTTATTATAATAATAGTAATAATAATAATGATACGCGCCGTTCGTGTATAATAATAATATTAAAATAGCGTTTAACGACCGTTCGTTTATCATTTGGTTTTTAACGTGGCACACGAATAATATATTGTTGTTAAACACAATTTCCATCATCCGAGTTGAACCGTTTGAATGTGTGAATTCGTTTGGGGTTTTGTCGACAATATATTATTATAAAATAAAAATTTTTCACGGGCGTGAAAAGGAAAAAAAATGCGTCCACCGGTTAAGTCAACGATGACCGCCCGCCCGCCATGATTAGCAGCGGCAGCTGCCGTTGTTGCCGTTATCAGTTGCTGTTATCAGCAAAAACCGTTCGCCGTCAAACCCATTAAACACCGTGTTGGTGCTTATCGTGTGTGTTTGTATTATACTACGTGTAGTATATTAAATTATAAGTCTATGGTCTATTGTGTATGTACAACAAGTGCAGCCTAATCTTGGAGACAATAATATTATTACACTGTACAGGGTGATCGGTAAACTATGTCTCCGTCGATATCGGATTTTGTTAATCGAGCAGTGTCATCTTTACCCCTTAAGGGCACGTGGGGCCTACACGGCCTAAGACGGTCCTGTAAACGAGTCCAACATATAAAAGAAAAGACTTGTCAAATTTAGTCCCGCCTAAAAAATGAAATACTCCAAACCCATTTGCATTGCCCGGGAGACATTGCGTGGAGGAGTGCTAGAAGGTCTGCCCAAAAACATGTTTGTCATTTAGTGTTAAATATTTTAACGACAGACTTAATAGAAGTTATATATGTTATCTTAATCTTATAAATAATTAAGCGGCCTCGCGACTGTGATTTATTTAGAGGCTTCGTATAGGCGACTTTTTTCTAAAACTTAACATTTACTTAACTAAAATTTGTAAACATAATATGCGTTAAAGGCAACGGAAAATGCTATTTACTAAGGGGCAAAGGATAGGCAATATTTGACATAAATTTATTTAGCAGCCATTTTTCATATGCCGACTAATTTTAAGGAGAAAAATGATTAAGTTTTTCTAGCTATAATAATTTTAAAGTTATTTTTCTCCGAGTTATAGCGAAAGTTTGATAAAAAAATGGCTTTCGTAGAAGTCATTTTCTAACGTATCTATTGAACGGATTTCAATTTTTCTTTTTCTTATGTGAAGCTCTTACTATTTATTCTGTGGGGGCTAAAAGGCCGATTTTTGATTTAGCAATTAGAAAACTAGTCAGATTTATTAGAAAAAAACTTTAAAAAAAAGTAAAAACGTAAATGCTTATATAGCTTTTTTGAAAACAAAAATAAAAAATTGGTCTTTTAATCCCTATAGAAAAGATGTTTAACTATATCGGACTTCATTGGGAACACAGGACCATGGAAATGACAACAAATGCAAGTCTGGTAGTATTATTATTACTAGACTTGATTTAGATTCATTTTTAAATATCATTTATACATATTTAAAGACCAAGTCCAACGTTAGATTTTTTTTTAAATTTTTATGCAATCGAAATTTGCAACCATTAAAAATAAAAACAGTTTCGCTACGTTTATTACGGCCAGGGTTTGATTTACCTACACCAGTCGCAGTAATGTATTATCTTAAAAGGTATTGGAATTTTTTTTAATATTATTTTTTTTTATACTTAAATTTTTATCAGGTAGCTCGAATTTTGACTCGTCGACGACCGGTTTTGAGTTATTACTTTTAAAGTTGTTATTAACGTTTAAAAGTAAATATCCAAAACTGGTTATTAAGACCGGTAGATCATTTCTGAACAATCAACAATAGCAATTTAAAATGTCTAATATCTTCTAAGGCGTTGACTGGGCCGTGAGTAACCAATCACCCTGTATAGCGAGATAAAGAGAGGCCGACCAACCAGTCGCTTTATACAGGGTGATTCATTAGCGAAAAAACATTCGTTTCCCCTATTAAAAATTGAATTTAATAATTTTAGATAACTAATTAAACATTTACATTAGGTCTTTCAATCAAGCGGCAGGCTATATATTTATATTGAGGTTTAACTTCTTGACATTAGTCTTTTTGATCAAATAATTTTTTCATTTTAAGTACTCGGTAGAAAAAGAATTACTATTATTATTACTTAAAAACAATTTTTTCTAAATATTCTTGTTTTTTTTTTTTAATACCTAGGAATATTTTTTCGTCGTGTATATATTATTTTATTTTCTTCATAAAGTGTAAAACAACTGTTGATCATTTAACAAGGCTAAATCTAGTCCAATGGTGGACAAATAACTTAAATGAAATTAAATGTATGTTGAAATACTAAAAGAGAGTTGTAGGGGGATGAAACTTGATACTAGTCGGTTATACAGGGCGATCACTAATATTCTCTTGAAATTATCAAAGACGCGTAGGTGTTCCTTTTTTTTTTTGAGACATTTTGGTATATATTAATTTACAATATTCAAATTTTTATTTTTTATTGGGTGGGTGGTAAGGTCTTAAATTTCCACTCCTCTTGATTAAAAAAAAAAACAAGCGAAGTCGTCCATCACGAGTAAAATACAAATAGTTATTTTATTTTTTCAATAACGATGAAAAATATTGGCACTTCTTTAATGTAAAAATGTATAAGTATTTTTTAGTGCGTACACATGATGCACGATGCTCATATTATGTGAAAACTTATTGGTCTAAAAATTACACTAAAGGTAGATTCAAAAGGGAGCTACAAAATTCAGCCTACCAGTCGACTACCGGCTGTTAATTTTTTTGCTTCTCATCAGCTATCTCTCTCTCTCTCTCTTTTTCCAAAAATTTTCTCACCCTCGGTTTTTTGTATTATTAATATATGTATTGCATTAAAATGCGAGCACGTCCTGGCGATATTAATAGAATATAATAATTTAATAATTATTAATACGGAATTGTCAGTGGGGCGTTTATTAAATTCCAGTGCTCGTCTCTCCGGCGTTCGTGGGTCCTCGGACGTGATCGATCGATCAGGCCAAAGATATAGATGGTCGGCAGGTGATAATATAGTCTTGTGTCATCGTATTGGAATTCGCAATGGAAACCGACTGTTTGGTGTTATTGAGTTCCCGTTTAGACCCCGAAAATGGACACACGGAGCAGACATTTAATTAGACATACTCATTCTTGTTCGTCCTGGCGCTATTTCATAGTATAATAAAAATGGGTTAGGCCAACCAAATCCTCTAACTTTTGCCGCATTCGTCTAGAGAATATTATGTTTAATGCGTTTTCTACGCTTTATTAAATTTGTAAAATTTACAAAGGGCTCCGCCTGTATGTGGTGTTTCGTGATAAACCGTATAGATATGATATGGCATAACATCATTTTTTCTGAAATACACAGCAAAAAGGATTTGCTAATTTTGTATTTAAAAAAAATATATGAGTAATACCGTTTTTAATTGATTTTGGCTTGCTAAACAAAAGAGTAACAAAACAAAAAAAAAAGGAGTTCAAATGTATTGTTTTTACGAAAAAGGGTTTTTTTCTAAATTCACTTAATTGTGTTACTTTAGGATCTTTTTAGTGTGAAATAGCTTAGCTTCAGTTTTATTGGGATTCGTCCACTTCTAACTTCAAAGCTTAGTTTAGTTGTATTGTGCATTAAATATGTAATGTTTAAACGCTAATAATAATGTAGATACATTATTATTGTTAAGGTTAAATCACGGATAAAAAGAAATCAGAATGGACGGTTTCAATGTAAGCAAAAAAGTGGCGGCCATGTTCTAAACCTGCTAAAATCATAATAAATTGCATCCGTCTACAACTAAAAATAATAATGTTTAGATATAATTTATTATGTCTGTAGCAGGTTTACAACATGGCCGCTCCGTTTTCGTGTGATAAGTATTTTCATCATCTCCACTCAATTTATTAAGTCTTCGAGTATAGGTAATTTATCTACTTAGATAAATTCAAAATTAATGGGGGGTGGGGGTTATTTTTTTTTCATTTTATCACGGCGCAGCGAACTTATATCAACTATGTTTGTCTAATAAAAACATAGTTCTCAGTTTTATAACAACATTTCTAGGGGTTTTCAATGAATAAATAACGAAACCAACAGTGTATCTATCAAAGAGATTTACAAAAAAAAACATAATAGCCAATTCATTGATCCGATTAAGCAGCATAATATTATTATGTTTTTTCTATTTTTTAGCCAAAGCCCTTATAAGCCGTTTCGGTTACAAGCTTTGTCACAAAAAAAAACAACCGAACTTAATCCTTTTTACCGGAGGTCGGTGCTATTATAAATCCCATATCCTAACCCACCGGGAAAACGGCTAATCGAGTAATATGGTTTTTTGCAAACAAAAAAAAATCTTCCTGTAAGCCCACCGCGGTTACTGTTATTATTATTTTTTAGCATCGGCGAGTAGCTTGGAAGGCATTGTTTTTTTTACAATGATGCCTTTTTATTTTGTATCTAAAAAAAAATATATATTTTTGTATTAAAAATTTTGAAATGTTCAAACATGCGCGGTTGTGCAGACTGAG